GAGAGCCGCGCCAGTGACCTAAATCTCTCCCTGAATAAGGCAGCGGCAGAGCTGCCTGGGGGAGAGGCCACGAGCTTCCAGCGCCCGTCTCTCTGTTTCCAGACTCTGCCCCAGATGTCCCACGGGACCGGGTGGTGTGTGAGGCCGGCAGGAGGCCTGTCGATGAGCCAATTCACGTTTGGCCAGGGCTTTGGAAACTTAAAATAGCTGGAAAAGAGCCAGTCCTCATTTACGGGGGAAGGGGAGGGGGTAGGAGATAGGGTGCAGGAAGGGGAGGGGGTAGGAGATAGGGTGCAGGAAGGGGAGGGGGTAGGAGATAGGGTGCAGGAAGGGGAGGGGGTAGGAGATAGGGTGCAGGAAGGGGAGGGGGTAGGAGATAGGGTGCAGGAAGGGGAGGGGGTAGGAGATAGGGTGCAGGAAGGGGAGGGGGTAGGAGATAGGGTGCAGGAAGGGGAGGGGGTAGGAGATAGGGTGCAGGAAGGGGAGGGGGTAGGAGATAGGGTGCAGGAAGGGGAGGGGGTAGGAGATAGGGTGCAGGAAGGGGAGGGGGTAGGAGATAGGGTGCAGGAAGGGGAGGGGGTAGGAGATAGGGTGCAGGAAGGGGAGGGGGTAGGAGATAGGGTGCAGGAAGGGGAGGGGGTAGGAGATAGGGTGCAGGAAGGGGAGGGGGTAGGAGATAGGGTGCAGGAAGGGGAGGGGGTAGGAGATAGGGTGCAGGAAGGGGAGGGGGTAGGAGATAGGGTGCAGGAAGGGGAGGGGGTAGGAGATAGGGTGCAGGAAGGGGAGGGGGTAGGAGATAGGGTGCAGGAAGGGGAGGGGGTAGGAGATAGGGTGCAGGAAGGGGAGGGGGTAGGAGATAGGGTGCAGGAAGGGGAGGGGGTAGGAGATAGGGTGCAGGAAGGGGAGGGGGTAGGAGATAGGGTGCAGGAAGGGGAGGGGGTAGGAGATAGGGTGCAGGAAGGGGAGGGGGTAGGAGATAGGGTGCAGGAAGGGGAGGGGGTAGGAGATAGGGTGCAGGAAGGGGAGGGGGTAGGAGATAGGGTGCAGGAAGGGGAGGGGGTAGGAGACAGGGTGGAGGAAGGGGAGGAGGTAGGAGATAGGATGCAGGGTGCAGGAGCGGAGTTGGGGTGCATCGGGGGTGCCGCAGGGCTGGAGCCCCAGCGCCAGCTCCCTGATGCTGGGGAGGGAGCTCTGAGTCTTAGGGGCTGGATCCAGGCAAACGGGGGGCCAGATCTGCCCCTTGGGCTGTAGGTTCCCTACCTATGGGCTAGGGATTCCTAGACCCCAAGGCTGGCGGAAACACTGATCATCTAGGGCCCCTACTGCAGACTCCAGGCCAGAGACAATTCCTAGAGCGGAGCTTCTAGCAAAACATCCTGTCTTCATTTCAGAATGGTCAGGGAGGGGTTAAGGGAGCAGCTTGGGAGCCAGGACTCCAAGTTTCTTTCCCAGCTCTGGCAGGGGAGACTTCAGTGGTGAGAATAGGGAGCTGGTAGGCAGGATGCCTCCACGTAAACCCCTCTGCAAGCGACCTTGGATGAGTTTGATCTTCTCTGTGTTTGATCCCCGCCCCTTGCAAAATGGGGTAAATATTTAACCTCCTAGGCAACGTTCCCTCTCATTTTTCCATCCATGTGCAGAATACATTTTGGTGTGTGCACCGAGGCAGGTGTGGATGTGCACCACCTGCGGAAACACCTGCTGCCAGCTGTGGGCTCTGCTAATCAGCTGGCTGCCCTTGAATTTCTCCTGGGCGGCTCCCCCCAAGCTGTGTGTAGAACCCCTGCCGTCTCAGTGGAGTGGGGGGGATGCTAAATTTGGGCTGGCTGGGAAAGCCGGTGGGGGTCTGGTCAAAGAGTATGCCCCTCCCCCACGAGTTGGGGAAACAGCTGATCTTCATACCGATCTTCCCCTCTCTCAAATCCAGGCCAGACCCACAGAGGGATTTACGACCCTCCTGCCTCAAAAAGTGTCTTGTCCAGCCACGAAAGGAAAAACCGTCCCATGGAGCGAGTGAGGCTGCCAACCGCACATTGTCAATGACTCCCATATGCTGGAGACTTTATCAGAACAGCTCATACTTGGCAGGGAAAGGGGATTGAGTCGTGAGCCGCTGGGAGGCAGAAAAAGGGCAAAATTCTGTGTTTTACTTATAAGGAAAAATGTAGGCCACGGCAAGGCACCGGCTCCCCCTAGTGGGCCATGCTTCTCCCTGCAGCCCAGTAGGATACGTCTACACGGCAGTGTTATTTCGGAGTAACGTCCGTTTTTCCAAAATAACTATGTGGGCGTCTACCCAGCGAGCCCCTTCTTCCGAAATAATGTTGAAATAATGGGGGGCTTGTTTCGCTGTTTGGAAACCTCATTCCACGAGGAACAACGATTTTCCAGAATAGCTATTCCAAAATAAGGTGGCTGTGTCTACCCTGGGCCACTTATTCCGGAAATGCAGCCGCTTTTCCGGAATAATTTGCCAGCTGTCTACACTGGCTGCTTGCTTTTCCGGAAAAGCACTGACGATCTAATGTAAAATTGTCAGTGTTTTTCCGGAAAAACTATGCTGCTCCCATTCAGGCAAAAGTCCTTTTCTGGAAAAACTGTTCCAAAAAAGGGTCAGTGTAGACAGCACAGTAGTCTATTCCGCAAAAAAGCCCCGATCGCGAAAATGACCATCGGGGGTTTTTTTGCGGAAAAGTGCGTCTACATTGGCCACGGACGCTTTTCCGGAAAAAGTGCTTTTCCGGAAAAACATCCTGCCAATGTAGACGCGCTTTTTCCGGAAATACTTATAATGGAAAACTGTTCTGTTTTAAGCATTTCCGGAAAAGGGTGCCAGTGTAGACGTAGCCGGTGTGTGCAGACGCTCCACCGCTGCTATTTCGAAACTGCCCCTCAACAGGGCCATTCTGTTATTCCTCCACAGCCTCCTGGGGCTGTAAACTGAGATAGCGCGTCTATATTAGGGAAGCCGGCCTCGGACTCATTTTGAGGCTTCCCTGTAGTGTAGACGCGCTATTTCGAAATAGCTGTGCGGTGTAGATCTACCCTAAATTGCATCTATTAGGCCTGGGGTCGTGAAGGGCACATCAGTAGAGTTGTTTAATCCAGTCAGAAAGGGCAGCTGAAATAAGCTCACCCACCCTGTGATCCAGGCAGTGGTGGGTCCTCTTAGTGCTTTTAGCATATGCAAAAGCTCCCAGGGATCTGGGTTCTGTCCCCGGGCACGTCCCCTCTCTGTGCCTCAGTTTCCCCTCTGTAAAATGGGAGTTATGCAACTGACCTTCCTTTGTGAAGTGCTGCAAGTTCTATGGCCCTGGAGAGCCAGGCCAATTATCTGGGGGGGTAACAGAAGCTTAATTTCTCTGTTGTTGATTTTTCTTTCCCTGACTTTCTGCAATTACCCAGCCTGGCACTTCAGGGCCCCTCTGCGCAGAAATGCTGAATTAAATCTGTCTCGTTCAATCAGCAGAAGCCTTGTGTGGCTTGCTTTGATAATCATCCTTCTCTGCAGGAGAAAGTTCTCTGCAGTGATCCCTCGCGTGTGCACACCATGTCAAGTGCCAAAGGGCCAGGTGGGGAAATGGAGTCACTGGGGGTATGTCTACACAGCAAAGTTATTTCAGAATAACGGCCGTTTGTACGAAATAACTATGTGAGCGTCTACACAGCCATTCCGTTATTTCGAAATAATTTTGAATCAACGGGCGGCTTATTCCGAAATCTATAAACCGCATTCTATGAAGAATAACGCTTATTCTGAAATAGCCATTTTGAAATAAGACAAGCGCGGACACTCCACTTCTGCTATTTCGAAATAGCCCCTCACCAGGGCCATTCTAAGTTATTCTTCCCCAGTGCCTCCTGGGGCTCTAAATTGAGATAGCATGTCCACATTTTAGGGGCCACCCTTACCTGATTAAGTTCATTAACACAAGCAATTTCTTCACTGTACAGGCAGTCCCTGGGTTACGTACAAGATAGGGACTGTAGGTTTGTTCTTAAGTTGAATTTGTATGTAAGTCGGAACTGGTACATATTGTAGGGGAAACTCTAGCCAAACATTTCTCCAGAGCTCAGTTTTATTCTCCCACACCTCACTTCCCTCAGTCCTTTATTCTCAAGCTGAGGTGTCTGCTGAGAAAAGCCGCTCCGCGTCTCCCTGGTCTGCTGGGGGGGTGCTAGCTTCGCGTCTCCCTGGTCTGCTGGGGGAAGCAGCTAGTGTGGGGTTGCCTCACCCCGTTTGTAAGTAGGGATCCGTTGTAAGTCGGATCCATGTAACCCGGGGACTGCCTGTATTCTAGAACAGCTTATTCCGAAAGAACTTTGCTGTGTAGATGTGCGACAAAATGACTTGCTCACGCTTACCCAGCAGAGCCAGGAATAGAACTCTGGACCAGTGACCACTAGACCACCCTACATTGCTCTGCCAGGTGGCCATAGCCCAGAATAAGGGTGGCTTATATCAGTATTATGGTCAGTTTAAATTCTCTCTCTGAGTGACCCAGGTGCAATGGTCCCATGTGGACAAGACTGCAAACTCTGTCCCTTCATGAATGGGCAGCACCTAGCACTCCATGGATGAGGCTACAAATGCACAATCCAGCTATTGTGGCAAGGTTCCCTGGAAGCTGAGCATTTGGGCAGCCACCCAGGAAAGATTCAATGCCGCCCAGCTGGTTAGCAGAACACTCACAGCTAGCAGCTTGGATTTCTACGGGTGGTGCACATGCACACATGCCTCGGTGCACAGAACAAAATGTATTCCGCACTTAGATGGGAAAAAATAGAGGGGACACTGCCCTGTGGCATGGCTATTTTGGTGGAATCCTTGTAATTCCAGCCTCCCGTGACCCGCCAGTCTATTCTACCTTAAGAGCTCAGTCCCTCCTCCTTACACCTTTGCAACCTCACAGACTTACCCGTTTCCCCTCTGGGCAATTTGGTGAGACTATTTTTATCTGTCAAACAGGTTTCCGGTTTGCAATCCCCCAGCTTTGAGCCACAGAGCAAAGGCAGAGAAAGGGGAAGAAACAAGAGAGGTCTTTTTACAGCTGATTCGCCCTGATCCCTGAGCAGAGCAACTGCTAAGCAGAAAGCAGGAGACCCCGTGGTCTGGGAACAGTATCGGATACAAACACCTTTGGATTTGCTGCTCCAACTCCGGGAGAAACCCAGACGCTGTGCACTGCTGCTTGGAGTGGTCTTAAGAAACCTGTCTTAGCCTCTGTTTGCTGTAGGCCATGAATTTCCACTGGGGAGGCCTATTGCAGAGCTTTCTCAAGAGAACTTGAAGGAAGGATCATAGTTTTTTTAATGGGCCGTCTCAGAATCGTGCTCATTTCAGGGTTTGATGCTGCTATTTTTCTTTTTTTAAAATCCTGTGAAAGTGCAGGCAAATCTAGGGATTCTGAGTCACTCTTTGGAGCCTGCTTTGCTGAGTCTGGGGGTGGTAGTTAAATGAAGAGGAGGAGGAGGAGGCATGAAACAGATGCGATTGGTCAATATCAGAGGAAACTGACCACAATCCCCCCACCCCTCCCAGGAGAGGTATCATAGATCCCTGCTCTTTCCTATCAGTCTCCTCTCATCAGCGAACTAAGCAGAGCTGCTTTGTGTACACACTGGGGAGACGTGACCTCTGGTCCAGGACAATTCTGGAGTGACTCTCTGTATAGGTTCTGTGCGTGGTGGGATTTCTGGAAGCGAAGCAGTGACCCGCTGCCAGGCACGCAACAAGAGCCCAATCATCGTGGAAGATCCGGAGACGAGAACTTGGTGAGTGAGGATGAGCCCTGTGCAGAGTTTGTTCTTTTTCCTCCAGTGCAGACAGGTGATGGCTTTTGTCATCAGCAGGACCCCAGCAGCCACATCAGGGGGTAAGGGTGTCTGACACACACAAGGGAGATATGGGGTGTTGCTGCCGTGGGGAAGATCTGGGGGGCTTTTTTGGATGGCCAGTGATTTTTGTGTAAAGGGGGCATGTGGGGTGATGGCCACCCTGCTGTGATCCTTTGAAGCCAGCAGGTTTCACACTAGCTCCTTCTGCCCAACAGTATCGAAATAGAATCAGAGACGGATGGGGCGGGAAGGGATCTACCGAGTGGATGTAGGAACATTGACTGTTCCATGCACAGTCACTATTTGCCCACTCCAGAGAAAAAGCAAAGGATGTTTATACTGGGTTGTGTGGAGCAGAATCTTACAAAGCTGTTTGTTCCCCTGGGGGCTGCTCTCCCGGCTTTTTGCTAGTGAGACGGGGAGAGAAGGGATGATCAGAATCAGAGGACTGACCCATCTATGCGCCACAGTTCCTGCACTTTTGGTCTGTCCCCCTGCGCTTGGGCACCAGGGTATTTTGGAAGCGAGAGTCTATATTTAGAAAGTTGCATGGGGAACCAGCTGGCTTTTTTTCCTCTGCGCTGAATGCTGCGAATAATATTTATTTTGTGCAGCTGCGGAGAGGAGATTGAGGCTGATTTGGGTAAACAACGGCAGTGGGCAGGAGCCGGGAGAGCGGATTTATTTTTGGTTCGGCTACCGGGAGGGGCAACAATTCTTATCAATGGGAGCAGATAGGGACCTGTCAGTGGGAACAGCAGGAAATGCTGCATTAACCTCCTGGACTTCTGCCTTGGCTGGCTGGGTCTGTCTGGAGCAGAGCTGCTTTGGTTGCTGTTGAGTTAAATTCACACTGGGCTGGACAGAGATGTGGCCCAAGGTATTGGCTGCTTTGAAACCTGTTTGAAGCCATCTGGAAATCTGTGCCTGGGTAGGATATGGAGTCTTTTCTCTTGTAGGTTGCTATTGTTACTATTATGCCAGGTTATGTTGATGGCCATCAAGCAGGCCTTTGATCTAAGACAATCCCAGATTAAAGCTAAGCAGCCTTCTTCCAGGTTAAAGAGAAGGCGCAACTAAGCCCCTTTTACACAGCGAGAGCTGGAAACAATAGAAGCCACCGCCCAAGGCAATGAGTTGCCAGTTCTGATCTGGTGGATTCCCTGTCTGCAGATTCCGGGGGTGAAGTGATTAGTAGGCAGCAAGACAGCAAGAGAAGCAGTGTTGTGAGTGGCACTGAGACAGAACAGAGACAGAGCTTCTTGGGCACAGAACACACTGGAAAGGTAGGTGTGGGGAGTGCTGAACAAGGAAAAGGATTGCACCAAAGAATACTCCTGCTTCGTATTGTTGGTTTCCGAATGTCCTAGCAAGGTGCTGAGTATTGGCTCCCTGGTCAGGCCAAAAGAGCAACAGAACCATGTAATATGTGTCCGGTGCCTTTTATAAAAGAGGTCAGTTTCAGACTGCCCTCTAGCAGCCAGGTGTCCAGGTAGCATGTAACTGACCGGCTCTGGCTGGTGATTGCCTTGGCTCACAGAGCTGTAACTCCCCATTAGCTTTTCGAGGGGATACCAACAGGGACAGAGCAGAGGAATGGTGGCTGCACAGCTGATGACCTGGCCATGTTTGCAAAGTCTCTTCCTGGCTTATAATGCTCCAGAGATAGCTAAGAAGCTACTTAGCAGTGAGCTGCTGGATAGCTGCCCTGGCTCGGTAGCTGCATCCAATGCAGGTACTTCCCAGTACACTGAACTGGGATTCTGGAGTCCTGCATGGTAGTCTTGGCCCTGCTACTGGTTTGCTGGGTAACCTTGGGCAAGTCATGTTCCACCTCAGTTTCCCCATCTGGGAAATGGGGAGAAAGATAGCGCTTCCCTTTGAAAAGCACGTTGAGAGTTGCTGACGAAACGTGCCCGATGAGACCTCGGGGCTGAGGACACTGTTGTTATTATGAAGTGTACTTGGCTCTGGCCGGATTGGAATGTCTGTTTGTATTTTTTGCTCCTGGGGAACAGCTGAACTATTTCAAGCCTAACTGTGGGCAGGGCTCAGGTTCCTAACCACTTAGCATGCCTGCCTTCCTAGTTCCCTGTTGGAATTCCTGCAATTCGTAATTGCAACACCGCACGCCATCGGCAAAACGCTGTCAGCCCAGGCAGGGAAACTACTGTCCATCTCCATCCATCCCTCCCTTCCTGCCCCCACTCCAATCCTACTACAAACATCATGCACAGACTGCCCTCGATCATAAAAACAGCCCTATTTGGTCAGATCAATGGTCCATTGAACCCAGTGTCCTGTTTTCCAGCAGTGCCAGGGCTTCTGAGGGTGCCAGATGAAGACAGATAAACAAGACTGGGACTTTTCAGCTTAGAAAAGAGGAGACTAAGGGGGGATAAGAGAGAACTCCATAAAATCATGATAGGTGTGGAGAAAGTGAATAAGGAAAAGTTATTCACTTGTTCACTTAACATAAGAACTAGGGGTCAGCAAATGAAACTAAGAGGCAGCAGGTTTAAAACAAACAAAAGGACATTTTTCTTCATGCACTGCACAGTCTACCTGTGGAACTCCTTGCCAGAGGATGTTGTGAAGCCCAGGACTTTAACAGGGCTCAAAAAATACCTAGATAAATTAATGGAGGTCCCATCAATACTTATTAGCCAGGATGGGCAGGGATGGTGTCCCTAGCCTCTGTTCGTCAGAGGCTGGGAATGGGGGATGGGAATGAGGGATCGCTTGGGGATTCCCCGCTCTGTTCATTCCCCGCGGGGCACCTGGCATTGGCCACTGTCGGCAGACAGGACACTGGGCTAGATGGACCTTTGGTCTATCCCAGTCTGGTTGTTCTTGTGTTCTTATGCTCAGGACAGTAAAGAGTGGCCCATCTGCTATCATCCAGTGCCAGCTTCTGACAGCCAGAAGTTTAGGGACACCCGGACCATGTGGCTGTAGCCCTGCCTATCTTGGCTGATGCCAACCTCATGCCTCGGTTTCCCTACCATTAGAATGGGGCCAGGGATACTCCCTTGGCTCTGAACATAACTCATTCTCTCCTCCTGAGCAGATTGAAGGTGAAGGGACAGAGCAGGGGCTGGGATAAATGGCTGGGGTATCGGAGACCCTCATCTGTGTATTAGAAACCCCCTTTTCTACATGGGGAAACTGAGCCCAGAGCAGGCAAGCGACTTGGCCACAGTCAAACATAGCCAGGACTAGAAACCAAAGCTCCTGATTCTCAGTCCAACTCGCCTGCCCTCACCTCCCTGAGAAGATAACCCAGGAATCTGCCTATCGCCTGCTCTAACCACTGGACAACACTCCCTTCCCACAGATGAGTTGAAGAAGCAGGATGCCTGGGTTCTAATCTGTGGCTCTAACTCTGTTGTCTCCCGTCTGGGCAGGACACTGACGCCAGTCAGGGAACAGGACAGAGACGCACGTCCTCGACCCGCCAACTGGGATAAAAGCTCCCAGCCTGCTTTCTGGGGGAGTCAGATACGCGCAGGATTATCTATTTCCCTTTAGCCCCCGACAGAGGGATCAGCTGCCTGGCAGGCCCTTGCCAAGATCTTCCCATCAAAATTTCATCCCACTAGAGCACAAACAATGTCTGGAATTTAGCAAGGGCAACAGATTTTTCCAGGCAGTAAATATAGTTCAGGGCCAACACCCCACCCGCTTAATTAAGGGGCTGTCCATTGTCTTCCATTTTAAAGGGACAGCTCTGAAAAAGTGGGATATGCAAGGGGCATCTCTCCCTGGGGCTTGGGAAGGGGTTTTCCGGCAGGGAGTCTTCTGCGCATCTTCCCCATGTGATTGCAAGCCACCGGGCCCTGTTTGTTTCTAGCAACGGCTGGTGGTTCCCAGATGGGGGGAAGCGGGGCAGAAAGGCAGCCAGTGGACTCAGGGATATGTTCCCGCTGGCTTTCCACCGCTCATATTGCAGTCACCCGGGCAGAAACTTTGTGACGTGGTCACACAATACAGACTAGGCCAGGCGTGGGAATGAGAGCAAGTATTTTCCCGTGGTTCCACGAGGCGGATGTGAGAGGGGTCCCACCCCCTCAGCTGCTCTGCTATTGCCCCTCAGACCTGACCCACAGCCCCCTGCCAGTCCACCCCTGGGATCCCCACCCACCCACTCTGCCAATGCCCCTCAGTCCTGACCCCCAGCTGCCAGCCTGCACCCCTTCATTCCTGCACCCCCATCAGTCTCAGGGCCAAAGTGCTCTGCATTCTGTCACAGCTGGGCTGGCAGTGAAATCCCTGTGGCAGAGTAACCATCTTCTCTTTAGTGTCTCCTCTTCTGTGCTGGGCAGCTGCTGGGAGGCCTGGTGGGGGGTGGGGGGGGGTGCAGCTGAGCAGGGAATGGAGGAAACGTGGGAGAGGGGCAGGCTGGGAGTCATGTGACTGGCAGGCTGGGGTCAGCTCTGCCACTGACTTGCTGGGTGACCTTGGGCAAGTCACTCCCCTCCCTGCCCCTGCTCCATGCCTCAGTTTCCCCTAGTGGAAAAAGGAGGTTAATCCTGACCGATTCCTCCCCCCAAAGGGCTCAGTGAGGACACTGTGGGAGGCAGAGGGCAATGGAGCGTTTGCGTTGCCAACCAATTACTCCGCTCGCTGAAGCAATGGGATTTTGGCTGCCCAATGTTAGCGAGCTCTTTGGCCTCTCCCCACCCGGTGTCTTTGGCATGCGCCCCTCCCCCGGCTCCCTTTTCATCTCGTCTTCCTCCAGCCAGCTGGTTGCCCTGTGAGTTCTTGGGCCACATCCTCAGGCTGGGATTGCAATTTTCAGAGCACCAGGGTCTCCAAGGGTGTGGCTGGGCTGCCGGTTAACAAGCAGAGGCTCCGAGATGAGAATCCAGACTATGGATGTCAAAGAGCGATGCTGGTTTGCACCCATTGAGGATCCGGGCCACCGTGTCCTTTTC